CGATCCTCTACAAAGAAACCCTGAAACACTTCCTGCTCTGAAGGAAACCTTCCAAGAAGGACTCTTAGACAGGAACAGGCTGAACGTCTCTGCTTGGACTCTGCTAATTATACGAGCTCTTGTCTTGGTACAGGAAAAAAGCTAGGGAAAGTTCTTCCTTGCCCCAAGCCCAAACCTGTGTCCCTATGTCTCCCCCTCCTTCTCACCTCCCCCCACCTCCCACCACACACACACACCAGTTCTCATTCTCATCTTCTACCACCCCGAGCTCAGCCTTCCCCAGGAGGAGGTGTGGTGGGCAAAATTTGGATATGCAGAGAGGGGAGGCTTTGGGCTAATGGCAAAGGGATATAAAAATACGGGAAGGGGAGAGAAATCAGACTGCAGTAGGGGCGAGGGGAACTGGCTGATTTGAGGCCATTCCTCAGGTGGGTATGGCTGCCACTTGTCACTGAGCAGGACGTTCAGGCTACCTGGGGTTCCACAAGGCATTAGGCTGGGGCTAGGCTGGGGCTGGACTTCTTCCAGAGGTGCTATGGCATTACCACATGCTGCCCTGGGACTTTAAAGATACTTTTTAATTAGTAAAATGCTCAAATCTGAAGTACATCTCACAGCTCAGTGAATTGTCACACACGTGTACACCTGTGTAGCAACTGCCCAGGTCAAGCACTTACGCATTCCCATTACTTCAGCAGTCTCCCTTCACAATAAGATGAGGTCTTATTTCGACTTCCTTTAGTGCCCTCTACAATGCTAGGGCACGTTTCTCCTCTCTTCTATGACTGGAGCATTCCAAGATCTATCTCACCTCGCTGTGTCCTTCGCCCCTCCCTTCCTGCCCTTTCTCCTCTCGCTCCCCCTCACCTCTCCCCCTTGCTGACTACAAGGTCTCCATCTCCTTACCGATTCAAACATGGGCCCCTGTGTCTCTGTTACCCCATGATTTCAGTTTGGTGAGGCAGGGGGGGTGGGGGGTGCTTAAATAAACGGTGAGATGTGAGATGGTTTCTGTAAAGAGCTGGAGTAATGGGGGAGGTGGTAATTGGTCCCCTGTCTCCTCTAACAGCCCCAGGCAGGAAAAAAGAGCCCTCCTTGATAAACCTCAGAAGCGCCAATCATCCATGGTGGCTCCCAATGCTTGGCAATTTGCAGGCAGGAAATTCTTTCTCCTGTCTCACTGAATCCAGCCTGCTGCATTTCATACTCATCCAGGAGACCAGCTGCTCCTCAGAGGACTCATGTTCCCCTGCTACGCTGCTTCTGCCTGCCTGGGCTCCTCCTGCCATAAGTCTCTGAACCTGGATGAGGCTGGGGGTTCTGATTTTAGGTAAGAGGCATTGGTCTCAGGCTTCTGTTGAGGGGATTGTATGTATATGGCCTGCAAACCTGAGCTGGGCCTACCCTGTCTTTCAGAGCCCCTAGCATCTAACAATTACAACTTCCAGCATCTTCACCCCTACCCCGGACACCACCCTCAGGCTTTGCCCCAGATTTCAGGGAGCCTCACATGGAGAAGAGAAAGCAGGACTTTCGCCCAAGCACCTCGCCAATTCCCATGCTGGGAAGAGCTCCAAGAAGTGAGCTTAAAGTCAGCCTGACCCTGCACTTGAGCTAACTAGAGAGTTTAGGGCCAGACTTGGCCCCTAACACCTTCTGTAGGACAGGAGTTTCTGAGCCCAGAAGAAGGGACCCAGGCAAGAGTGAGGAAGTCTACAGCATCTCCTCAATTCTGGTCTTGTTTTGTCCCCTGCCATGGTGTTGGATGAATGTGGGAGGTGACTGACAGGGAGTTAGCAGGGGAATCCCTGGTATGGTTGCAGACAGGGATTAACCAAGTCTTGTTAATTCCACCTGCTCAGTTGGCCTCCCTCCTGTCTATGCTCACTGCCCCTTAACCCAGGCCTCATCAGTTCCTGCCAGGACTGGTACAGCAGATTTCAGCCCCACCAACTGCAACCAGAAGGATCTTTGTAAAATGTGTATTCCCCCATCCTCTCTCTCCTGCTTCAAGTCTTTGATGGCCCCCCATGGCCTACGCATCAAAACTCGCACTTCAAAACTGTCATTCAAGGCCCTTCCCAATCCTATTTCTGCCTACATCTCCCAACTCATCCCCTGATGCCCCAGAACTCCTTGCTGTAGTCATACCAGTCTTCTTACAACCCTGAATGTGTTAGGCATTTTCACGCATCCATGCTTGTGCACACACTGCTCCTGCTCTCTCATTCCGCCTCTAATTGTCCTACTCTTAACACATCCTCCAAGTTCTACATCTACTACCCACTCTACATGAAGCCCACACTCCAGCTATGTCCCACCCTGGAACCCTTCCCCAGGATTGGTAGACTTGGATACGTTTAGCCAGGGAATTTTTCAACTCTCTCCATGTGCCTGGAGTCCAGAGGAATATTGAGGATGTTTAGAATAGGGAAATAAGTGGAAGAGGAAGTCCAAAGTCCTCCTGCATTCCTCAGTGATAAGAGCTGGAGGGAGCTGCCCTGGCCCTGGCCCTCAAAGGGCAAGGTTGACCAGATGGTCCAGGGCAAGACTGAGGAAAACGATTGATGTAGTCCAGACCAGTGGTCAGAGACTTAGGTCCCATCTGGGAATGTGCGTTTGCTGGGTGACCTCAGGTCCCTCTTTGGATCTCTATTTCCTTTACTCCTTTCCAGATGGGGCCCAGTGTCAAATTAAATTGTGACAGAGATGGAGCTCATCTTTCAGACCACCCCCACTTTATCCAGAGATAACCCCAGGATCCTGGGTTACCCTGGGGGCTGCTGTACCCACCCATCCCTCCTCTCAAAACTGTCTTTCAGGAAGGGCTCTGTGGCTATGCTGCTGGAAGAGCAGGGATGGCTAGATAAATGACCCAACATACTTCTACCTCAGAGAGTGGCAGGCAGAAGCTGCCAGGAACCCTAGGTGCCCATGGTGATTGGAAAAGAAATATCTCTTGGCAAACCGCATGGCCATAGCCCTGGCTTAAGAGAGCCCAGAAAGTGAGGTCATACATGGTCCTGTCCTCAGACCACAGGCTGGACACTTTTGGTTATAGTAACAGAAAACTCAACAGGCTCAAGTCATAAAGAAAGGTCTTGGCTCCTGGAGCTGGAAGCAGGGCTGGTTTCAGGCATGGCTGCATTCAGGGGCTCAGACAATGTTAAGAGGACCTGGTTTTTCTCCATCTCTCCATTCTGCCTTCAGCTGTGTGGCCTTCATCATTGTGTTCCACTTATCAACAAGAAGACAGCAAAGGCTCCAGCCCCTGCATCCTTTGAGCTTTCCAGTCCAGTGGAAAAAAGCAAATCCACTTGCCTAATAGCTTAATCAAAAGTCCCAGGAGTGAGCCTCCTAGCTCTGAGTATCCTGACCTGGGCCATGTGCCAGGCACTGTGGCCAGGAATGCTCTGAATGACTTAAGTCTTGGTCACATGTCAATCCTCTGGAAGAGGATTCATCAGAACCCTATGAACTAGGAGTAGGGAAGGAGATGGTGTCCCAGACAGAGATGAGGACATGGCACCAGAGGAGAGTAAAGGATGGTTGGAAGGCAGAAACAACAGATGTCCACTACCATGCATCCTGATTTCATGCTGTGGTGTGATGGGAGTTGAAAATGGGCAGGAGAATCAGGAGAGGCTGGGAAGGGTACAGAAAGCAGAAAGAACCCTGTTGCTGGGACAACAAAGCTGGAAAGGTACCTTGGGGAGAAACAAGATAGAACAGTGGTAGGACACAAGTTGGGTTGTCCAGTCCCTAGGTTCCTCTTTCAGAGGTCACCTCTGAGATCCATTTGGCCACCCTTCCCTCCATACCTGAGGATGAGCCAGACACATATCCCTTAAGACAGAGTGTCTTGAGCGTCTCAGCTTGAGTAACCCTTATGTGAAAAAGGGGAAGCACATGACCCCAGAAAGGAACCACAAGCACAAAGTTTCCTTTGAGATCTCATATCTTTTCTTTTAACAGTTATACAAATAACTACATCCTGTTCCATAATGGATCCCTGTTACTTTCAATATGCCAAGTTTTAAATGACTTATCAGCTAATGTCTTTACTACAATTGGCTGGTAAAGTTAAAGGTCCAAGATGGAACCCATGTTCACTGTGTGGCTTCCAGGCTAATGGCACATGGACAGGTAGGGTCTGGAAGCCAGGGAGGTCTGAGAGGTGTTCTAGACAAGGATGCCTTCCCTTGGACTTGGGCTAGGTCAGCCATGGTGCTAGCTGCATATGGGAAAGTAGGACTACATGTGACCTCTGAAACAGTGAAGCTCCACCAAGACTTCAACAGGAATGAAAGAGCTGTTGAATGGAAGGGACTCAACTGTGTGTCCTATTAGTCACTGAGTTGTCCAGCCTCAGCTCAGATGCCTCTCCTTCGACAGCAGTGGAGTGCTCACTGCTATCTGGGATGCAGACAGAGGCTGGAAAATGCAGCCAGACTCCTGGATTCCTTCCAGGCCTGCCCCCAGGAACCAGAGGCCAGGATCTAATGCCCCATGACAAGGTAGCACTAGCTGGTCCCCACTCATCCAGGGAGACTGAGGCAGGGACAGAGGACTCCCAAGCCACACTGGAGAGTGGTAGAGTCCAGTGAGCCAGCTCAGGGCTCTAAAGAGAGGCCCTCTCACCTTTGTCTACAAAGAAACAAAGTTATTACAGCTGCAGCACCGTTGGGGGAGCCACCAAGAAGCCATTGCAGGGTCCTTAAGACAGACCCAGCTTTGGGGACAATGGACAACAGTTTGGGATCAGATCCAGGTCAGGGAAAGGGCTCAGCCTGGAGCTAGGATTGGGATTCAGTCTGGGCTTGGGATTGCTGATCGGTGTGGAACTTGGATCTCCTCCAGGGTGAAAGCAGGTTCAGCCCAGGGACTGGGCCCTGCTTGGCCCCATGCTCCTGGAGTCAGTGGATGAGAGGCGGGTTGTGGATAAGGCTAATGGGCCCCTTTCTGTCTCTGTCACACAGGGTGGCCGAGCAGCCCAGCTTCAGCAGGAGTGTGACTATCTGCAGATGATTGAGGTGCAGCACCAGCAGTGCCTGGAGGAGGCCCAGCTGGAGAATGAGACCACAGGTGAGGCTGCCTTGGGAAGAGAGGTATTGCAGACCCCTGCGGAGCCAACTCTGCCTTTGGGTGTCCCTATCCTTCTTCTCCAGGAAGAGTGGAGATGATGTCCGTGGCTGCCAACCCACCCAGGATGGGAGGGAGAAACTGAGGCCAAGCTCCTTCTTCCCAACGTTAGGCTCTGCCACCATGACACCTAGTGGACCGATAGTGACACCCCCCCCCCCGAGACAGGCCCCTAGGCACACATGGGTACACACACTGGCCTCCCCACCCCAACCCACCCTTAGCAGGCCAGAGGAACTGTCAGCTCATTCTCCAGCTGATTAGACAAGTAAAGGGCAGCCCCAGAGGCTGAGCACATTGGGGCCCCCCCTGCTCCTCCTCTGGGGCTCTGGGAGGGCTCCAGCCTGGCAGTGGTGAAACCCAGTGGCCCAGACCTGATGGCAGGCCCTCAGGATAGATAAGAGCACCCTCTACTTGGCTCAGCAGCCCAGGGTGAGAATGGGAGAAATTCCTTGGAAAGCTGCCACTTGAGCCAGACTTGGGTGTGTAGGCTTGGAGAAGCAGAGAGGCTGGGAAGGTGGGAGGCACCGAGGCAGATTGCCTGCACGGAGTTGGAGGTAGTGTCAGGCTCAAGGCTCATGGAGGGGTAGGGAGGGCGGGCACGTCAGGGCTGGAGGTGGTGAGGTTGCTGTGCCTGCTCTGGCCACCATCCGAGGTCATCTCCCCAGGCTGAGCTTATGGTTATGTAACAGCCTTGCTTGGGAGCAGGGAGCATCTTCACGTCTTCCTGGCTCCCTGGCTCCCCTGCCACCTCTCTGAGGCTGCAGTTATGTAATCCTTCCTGGGTCCTTCCTTCTCGGCCCTGATGGCCAGGCGTTCTGCCCCCTGCAGAACCATGAGTGAGAATGTGTAGCCTCAGCATGGGCTAGGCCTCCCCTGGATCTCAAGGCAGGACAGCCCCCCTGTCTCCTAGGGCCCCGAGACTGAGGTCTGGGTCAAGGGATGGCTGGACTTGCCCACTACCTATGTGTCCTACCCCACCCTGCCAGGGCAGAGAGGCAGGACCAGGCTGCAGACAGGCCTTGGCAGGCCCCAATGGCAGGATCATGGGCAGCCCCGAGAGTCCCAGACCCTGAATCTAGGCCTCACTGCAGCGCCTCCTAGGCCCCAGGGGCAGGCCACCCTCGTGATCCAGATGAGCTCATTGCTGGCACAGGGTGCCTGTTGGGTGCCAATGCCCTGTCACCAGGTAGCTGGCCTGGGATCCAGAGGAGGACGGGCATGGATCGTGGGCCATGGGTCTTCCCATGACCTTGCGTGGGCTCTGTGCATGTTTGTGCACATCCAGGTGTGCGCTCCTGGCCCATGTCTGTGTCTGAGCTTCTGGGGTCTGTAGCTCTGTGTCTGACTCTGAGTGTCTTTGTGAGCCAGGGGCACATGTCTATTTAAGCCTGGACACACCTAGACGTGTCTGCCTGGTGTTCTGTGTCTCTGTGTGTGTCACTTTGTGAGAGTGTCTATCAGTGTGAATGTCTATGATATGCCCAGACATTTCTGTCTCTATGCACATATGTCTCTGTGAATTGTGTGTCTCTCTGTGCCTGTGTTTGCTGTGTCTGTGGTCTTTCTGCTTCCATGTAAATACCCGTATGTATGTTTGCATGTGTGTCTGGTGTTCCATGTGCCTGGGAGTTCATGTCAGTGTATGTGTCTCTGTGTGCACACAAGTTCTATAAAATGATATGGCAGGGGTCCCACCCACCCTGCCTCACCATCCCTCACCCCAGGCTGAGTTGGGCTTCCTTTTTGAGGTCACAGCCCCTGATGGGCACACACAGCCAGACTGGGCCCTGTATTTCTGTGGGCCTGGCGACACATGCAATGGGGCCTATGGGGCCTCCCTGGGGCAGGCACACAGAGAATCTCCCAGGGCCCAGCCCAGGACAACAAGCTGTTCCAGGACAACAAGCCATTCCAGGTACCAAGTATTATCATGGCTGCCACCCCCTCCACTGCTTCCCCAACCCTGCTGCCTCAGCAAACCAGCTCTATCCTGCCTCCTGCAGGAAGCTTCCCTGACCATGTTCCCCAGACTGGCCTCTCTTCCCTGGCTCCCCTGCCCTCTGGCCCATCACCAGTTCACAGCCCAGCCTTGGTCATGCTGAGATTCCTTGAGGCCAAGTGTGGCCTCCCCAAGGGCAGGGCCCATTCTCCCTCTTCTGTCCCACCTCTGGTGAAGCTGAACTCAGGTATAGAGACCCAGCTCCAAATCTACTCCCTGACCTGTGCTGGCAGCTCACGATTCGGAGAGCTCAAAGTCTGGCAGGGACCCAGACACAATAGTTGGCCTACAAAACAGGGAGTGTCTAGTTCTGTCAGAGAGGAGTAAACAAAGTCCAGCACCAGCAAAATTCCCAGAGAATCAACATCAAGCCCATCAGATCACGAGGAGAGCACGAGGAGAAATGACTAGACTGCACCACTCACCAGCAATGTGACCTTGGGCTAGCTGCCGAGTGACGCTGTGCCTCAGTGTCCTCATCTGTGAAATGGAAGGATTAAATAAGTTATTCATTTAAAGAAGTTAGAACAGTGTCTGGCACATACAAAGGCTACTAAGTGTCTGCTGATATTATTAACCAAGTCTTAAACCACAAGCAGGATTTGACTGGCCTGAAAGGCCTCTATGTGGCCTCCAGAGAGGCTGGCACAGGAATAGAAGAAGGACCAACAGCCAGAGTGAGGCCACAGGAGCCCCCAGGATAGATTGGGGTGAAAGCGGTTGGGGTCCCTGAGAAAGGGAGGCTGTACTCTCTGGCCACGCCCTGTGGATTCAGGTGTCCTCCTCGGCCTTCAGCAGCAGGTGCCACCTGACTGCTACAGCCCCAGAAGGTACCTCTACACCTGCTGCCACCCACACCAGCAGAGTCCCAAGGCTCTTCTCCAGGTGGGGACATTCCTCCACCTCCTCTTCCCAGGCCCCCTTCTTGGGAACTCGTGAACCTTCGGACCTGGGCTGGGTTGGGCTTGGCCCAGCTGGCGTTGACTTTGGCTCAGGGGTTGGGTTTCCTGAACAAATCTATGAGACTGGCAGGATTGCAAAGAGACAATTAAGCCTCCCTCGGGGGAGGGGGTCCAGAGTAGTCCTAGTCCTTCAGGAGCGCATAGCTCCTGAACAGGCAAAACCATGGAATTTGAATCTGCCTGTTAAAGCAGACCCCTAGAGAGCACTGTGCACCCTTCACCAGCAGGCCCTGCAAAGCTAGGGCTATATGGTGGGGCACACAGTCTGTGATTCAGGATTTTCTCTGAACTCACTCCCTGATACACACACCCCCATCATAATTCACAATTTGACTGAGTTGGAAGTTTTTGTGTTTTTTTGTTAATTTTGTAAAGACTCCTCAAGAACCAGCTGTACCCTAATATGCTCACCATCCCATTGTACCCAATACCTCCTTTTTATAACAAACATTTCCTATTGTCTCCTTTACTATCACAAAATGAAATTCAGGACACACATGTATTCATTTTTGTAAAAAATGACGTTCTTGCTGTAATGTAAAAGGAAAATAAAAAGGAAAGTAATTTATAATAAAATACTGTGTACGTGTTCAGTCGTGATCACACTAAAAGATAAGATGTAGTCTGAAGGTTGCACCTATAAATATAAATTCTGGGAATGTGAGAGTTATAAATGCAGATTGTTATATACGGGTGGTTGTATCCATGACTCAAACATCACGGGCAGCATTGCTGTAGGTAATATGATTTTCCAAAACGTTGAACAACTCTTAGTAAAGTTCAGAACAAAACAAAGTACAGTCTTCTCTCTTCTTTACTCAGTGGTTGCATTCCTGGGAAATTCCATGTACGTTAAACCTGCTCAATAAGTACCTTGTGAATATATGTAAAATGGTGTAAGAGTCTAGGCTCTGGTCATTACAAAAGGTTTCATCTACACAAGTGCCCAGTGGCTCATCTGAAAACCATGCGGAACGTGAGACAATCGTAAGTGTACAGGACCATCCAGGTGGCCTGCCTGGCATCCCTGGTGCTTGCCCATCAAATGCCAAGTGAGGTCCCCCAATCACTATAATAAACAAAACCCCTACCCGCGCTTGAAACACCTCCAGGGGGAGCTCCATCCCTCGCTGAGGACCATGGAGCTATATTCATGCCTTCTTCCCCCTCTCTGTCAGGACAGGACCCCTACAGCCTGGGCAGGGCTTTGCCTCCCCTCTCAGACTGGAGGCTCCTCTAGGTGGGAGCCTGGCAGGAGGAGAAAGAGAGTGGGTGCCTGTAAGGTCCAGCCCCACGCTGGAGGCGCCTGGTGACCATGCTGACCATGTGTCCTCTGTCTTCACTGGACAGGCTGCAGCAAGATGTGGGACAACCTCACCTGCTGGCCAGCCACCCCTCGGGGCCAGGTGGTCGTCTTGGCATGCCCCCTCATCTTTAAGCTCTTCTCCCCCATTCAAGGTAAGAGCTCTGGGTTGAACAGAGGGAGCTGGGGTGGTGTGCATGGGGCTGGCTGGAGTGGGGACTCACCTCTCAAGGAAGTGAGATGACAGAGGAAGGTGGTCAGGGGGGCTGGAGCAATCTGGGGGTTCCCCGGCAGAGGAGGCGATGGCGCTGGATCTTTGAAAGACTCGTGGGATTTGATTAGCTCTTCACATAAAGATAAGCATGTGGGAAGGGCTCACTAAATATTAGCTCAACAATTGATAACCGATTGACTGACAGGTGCCTGATTAAATTATGACTCCCGTGTTCCTGTTGTCATGGCTGGTCGTGATTCAGTCCTTTGCTGCCTGGTGCCAATGACCTTTCAGGCTTCGCGAAATCACCACACGGCTTTGCTTACACACTTGACATGTTCTGCTTAAATGAGTGTGCACATATGAGGTAGAAAAGAAAAGAGGAGCCACTTTAGGAAGGGGGCTTTCTTGTTATTGAGTCATTAAAAAGGCTTACGAGGTATACTTGGTCATTCTCTCAGTGAATGAAGCACCTACTAGTATGCCAGGCACCAGGCCAGATGAGCATTGCAGGGAGGGGGACAAAAGAGCCACCGTGTCTGCTCCCGGAAGCTAGCGTTCCAGATGGAGAGACATTTAGTAAGGAAACAAACACATGCATCGTTAGTGATAAGTGCTGGGAGAGAGAATAAGGCAGGTGCTCACAAATGTCCCCCTGAAGAGGTGGTACTTACCACGCTCTGAGAACTGGGAGGTGAGAAGGAGCCACTGGGAGGAGATCCTGGGTCAGGGGATAATCGAGGGAGAAAATCAACAGCCCGTGGAATAAGCATAAGGAAACTCAGTGAGGGCCCGTGTGGCTGGAGCAGAGAAAGCACGGGGAAGGGGATGAGGAAAGAGACCGGTGGGTGCAGGACTGAGGTAAGAACTTGGGTTTTTCCCAAGTCCAGTGAGAAGCCACTGGGGGTTTAAGCAGGGGACTGACACAGTCTGATTTAGGTTGTTAACGGATAACTCTGTTCCTGTGAGAAGGAAGGATTCTAGAAGCATACATGGGAAGACTTAGTCACAAGGCAGGTGAGAGACGATGGTGGCTTGAATTCAGGTAGACAGAGTGGTGGAGGAGGAAGTGGGGGACTTGTTTATGGAGGGAGTGGGAGCGGGGAATCAAGCATGTTCCCCCAGCTGGAGGCTTAATGAGCTGGGGAGAGAAAAGAGCTGGACTGGAGTAGGAGGATCAAGGCAGAAGCAGGACCTAGATAAGTATTCAGAGGTGAACAGAATGACACTTCAGCGTCCCCACTCCAGGTGACCTTTCCCTCCCTGGACCCCACTTTCCCTGTTTGTTAAGTGGGAGTGGGAGGTAGACCAAATGGTCTCTTCGGGTGGGCCAGCTTTGCCCCCAGTGCTCAGGGTTGTGACCTCAGTGGTGAAGGACCGCCCTTGAAGCCCTCCTGAGGAATGTGGGAGCAGTCAGCCTGCCCACGCCTGCCTCGCCCACCCCCTCCCCACCCCCCAGCGCCGGGGCAGGTTGGAGACACGCTCCTCCCAAGGTCTCAGCACCTTCCCTCAGCAGAGCTGGCAGCCAGCCTCCCCTCAGATCCCTGGACGAGCCTGCTAATTGCCTTCCTGCCTGGTACTCTGCTAATTGCATTCTTCCCCATGGCTCTTCCTTCTGTGCCTGTTGGAATGTGTCAAGGCAACCCCTTCACTTGAGAACCTGGACTTCGGCCCACCATCTGGCTAACACTGAGGCTGTTGGCCTCAATGGGGTCCATAGGGTGCCTCTGTGCAGATGAGAAAAAGGCAGCCCCTCCTCAGGCGGAGCGGACCTCTCACCAGATCCCCTGCCTAGATGCAAGCTGAAAATGGTCAGCTGGAGCCCTCATCATCCATCAGCAAAGGCCACTGTGCAGTGAACAACCCGCACAGTTATACTCACTCAGCGGGCCTAGTCTCTAAAAATGATGGAGAGAAATAGAAGACTGTGGTTAGGGGCTGAAACATGGAAAGAGGGTGTTTTCCTGAGCACTGGATGAAGTAGGTGTGAGCAACTGACCTTAAATTCCAAAGAGGGAAGTTTGCAAGTGCAGGGTAGAGATGATGCCAACCCCACTCCTGCCCCTTTGGGTAACAGGACTGGGGAAGGAGTGTCTCCTAGGAAGAACCCTGGTTCTACAGAGAAAACTGAAGAAAACTTGTAGAAGATACAAATTGTGGAGGAGTAGAAAAAAGTCATCTACCCTGGCTGGTTAAAATACCTGGAAGAGGAGGGTCAGCCAGGCAAGGGAATGTTCATTAAGGTACCAAAAGTTCACGGTGGCCTATTTCTTTAATTCATATCTTTCACCTGTGTGTTTTATCTTCAAATATTTGAAGACACTTTTTAGAATAAAAAATGGGATAGTTATTTTCGTTGCGAGAACTCCACATACAGCCTGTGTTAACCATGTCTGTGGGGTCAGTGGAATAGCCCCTCTCCCCAACACCTGCAGCATGACTACACAAATAAGAAAGTCTTGATGCCAACCTAAGACGTTTGCCCTTGCTGGCTGGGATGGGGCTCCATGGAAGGGATTTCATCAGGAGAGAGCCATGGACAGGCTGGGTGTTAGAACAATCTCTCCACCTGTCTCAGTGCGGGAAGCCAGTTGGAGGGGGCAGGAAAGCAGGGACACCCATCAGGAGTCTCCTCCCGGACCCAGGGGAGATAAGATGGTGGTGGTGTTGAGGAAAGAGAGGCTGGGACAGGACTGGTGACTGATGGGGGAGAGGAGAGAGGAGAGTGGGGAGAGAATGATTCCCCAGTTTCTGGCTCCGGTCACTGAGTGGTGCTTTTCAGAAGATGGAGAACCCTGGGGGGTAGCAGGAGCTGTGACTGCTTTTTAAGATGTGTGGAGTGGGAAGACATAGGGAGAATATAAGGTGTCCCTCCCAGCACAGGGTTAAAGTCCCTTGCCCCTGCCTCCTGCCCTTCATATCCCCATCTACAGACACAGAGCCTGCTGGTTCCCAGGCCCAGACTCTTGGCTGCTTCCTGGGGTCCCATGGTGACTGCCTTTGGGATCTCCTCAAGAGCAGCTCTCTTTGAGGTCTGGGCCACAGTCCCAGGGCTTTCAAAGAGGCCGCCCAGCCTTTAAGATGACCCACTATCCGCTCTTCCCCCTCACCATCTAGGGCAGCCAGGGCTCTGGGGGATGGGGTGCTCTTTAGCCACGGCTGGGAGTCCAGAAAGATCTGGAGTCAGGCTGATCTGGTGTGCATCCCAGGCCTGCAGCTTCCTTGCTATGTGACCACGGGCAAGTCACTTAAACTCTCTTAGTCTGGGGAGCCCCATCTTCTAGTGGGACTAATGATAACTCCTGAACCCTAGCCTTAACACATGAATGTTTGCCCCCCTACCACACACTCACACACGCATGAGCTGCTGTGTACATGCCGATGAGTCACCCAGCTTGCTAGGGTAATTCGTGATGATACCAGGTGTCCACTTTGTCACTGGGCCTAGCCTTATCTAGTCCTGGTCCCTCTGGCAATAGGGAGCCCAAAGCTTTACTGTCCCAGCTTCAAGGCTGGTTGATTTTGGCCTTATCCCTCTTTTCTACTTGCCCAAGCCTGGTGGGAGGAAATCCCCAAAAGAATTAGATTGTGGGTGGAAGGCCCAGCCCCAGGGTCCGCAGTGAGCTCTTTAGAACTAGGGCTGAGGCGGGCCCTGCAGTTTGATGAGGGGTGGGGTTGAAGGCTCCTTCTGACCAGGCCGACCTCTGGCTGCAATGGTGGGAAGCTGAGAGGGTTGAATAGGGGCAGCTGAAGACTTTCCTCTTGTACTGGGAGCTTCTCACAACAGTGGAGTTGGAAGGCCTGGGCAGGAAAGTGGCTGCCAAGGCAGGAAACTGGCCTAGCCCAATGCACCTTCCTCAGCAAAGTCCTTCCTGTCCTCTCCAGGCCTCACAGTAGATATAGACCCAGCCCACAGCCGCTCCACCCTGGCTGTCTCTCTCCCACCCCAGCTGTCCCTCAGCTCCTTATCCATAAAGTAGGGTGATAAGACCTCTTTCAAAGGGTTGCCAGGAGGATTTACAGAAACAGTGAATATGGAATCACCTGGTATATTCCAGGCATACAGCAACATTTGGAAATATTAAACACACATGCACAGTGACCCTCTCTGAGCTCACAGGACAGCTTGACCCCTCTCGCAGCTCTGTACCTGGACACCAAAACAAGGCCCCGGGTCACCTCAGTGCAGATGAGGGCAAAGCTTACCTGGGAAGACTCTGCAGACCAGACCAGCTCTACCCTGTCCTCTCTGTGTGTTTGCGGGCAAGTGGACAACCTCTTGGGGCCTCCACTTCTCAGCTTTGAAATGGGGTTACATTCCTCATCGGATGATTTGTGCACAGCACCGACCCATGGTACATTCTCAGAACTTGTCGTTGTGATGAAGCTGATGATGGTAGTGATGATACTAGTGATGAATGTGTCCTGGAATGTGGGGGACCCATTGTCCATTCACCCCCTCCCCTCCCTCTTGGGGGAGAGGCTACCTCCCCAAGGACTGGAGAATGGGACGCCTTGGTGGTACCCTCACTTCACATGCCCCCTTAGCAGTCCTGTCCCTTTGCTGCAACCTTGAGCCTCCCAGGACGGTGGAGAATACAGCTGCCCTGGAGCCGCAGCCTCACCTTGCTCCAGCACCCCCATCCCACAGTGCTGCGCTACTTCATTCCCCTCTCCCACGCCTTTGCCCGGGCAGGTTCCCCTGCTGGGAACTCCCTGCTTCTCCATTTATGAGCATCTCAGGTCTAAGCCCTTATCAATTGTCCTCCAACCCCCACTCCACCCCCACCCTCACACCTTTGGTCCCTCTCCAGCCACACACCTGAGCCCCACCAGGTGTGGGAGGAAACCCAGCCCCACCTGCCCAGGCAGGCTGACCGAGGAGGACTGGGCAGGTAGGGCCCCAGCCCCAGCTGTGGCCCCATGACAAGGGTCAGCATTCAGCTCATGGCAAGGGTCAGAGATCCTTCTGATACAAGGATCCAGGCTGAGTCTGTGACAAGGATCAGAGTTTACATTGTACCTGGGGTCAGGTTCGTGACCAGGGATAGGGCTGAGCACAGGAATGTCTGCTCTGATTCTGCCACCTGTACGGGAGTGTCCCCTGCACCTTGAAGGGGCTTTCCCTACCCCAGGTGCCCCCATGGTGCTCTAGGTGTCTGGGTCAGGGCAGCTGGAGCCTGAAAGCATCAGGGGTTGGTGGGTATAGGGCTGAGTTCTCTGCCCTGTGCCAAGCACAGAGACAGCTAGGCCCCCATGGCCTACTCAGGCCAGCTCTGCTCCCAGCCTCAGCCTCTCTCCTCCCTGCCCCTGCCCTCCACCCAGGCCGCAACGTGAGCCGCAGCTGCACCGACGAGGGCTGGACACACCTGGAGCCTGGCCCCTACCCTGTTGCCTGTGGCTTGGATGACAAGGAATCGAGTTTGGATGAGGTGGGCCTCAGTGCACCCCCACCCCACCTGCAGAGCCCCTGGGCCTACCTAGGCTCTGTTCACCCTCTTCCACCAAGTGGGGAGGTTGCCATCTGTGTAGAGGCCAGGACTCCTGGGGTCTGCCCTCCCCAAGCCTCCCTCTCCAGGCCTGCATTTCTGGGGGCTCATCCCCTGACTCCCCCTGACAAGGTGCAGGAGGGGGCTTTCATGAGGATGACACACAGGAGGGGGTCCCCACAGCAGCAAAAGTTGAAGCAGCACCCCAAGGCTGGGCCTCCCTACTGCTTCATGGGAGCCTTGCTCCAGGCCTGGAGGTGGCAGGGCAGGCAGATACCATCACCCCTGTCATATCCAGAGGGAAAACTGAGGTGCGGCTCCTGGAAGCATCCTGTCTCAGATACCCAACAGCCAGTCAGGGACAGGGATAAGAACAGGACATGTTGTTCTCAGTCCCAGGACAGGGATGTGCCCATGGAGCGGGTAAAGCATAGGTGTTCTCTATAAAGATTTGGGGATCCAGGTAGGGACATTTATGGGGAGGCTAGAGTATAACTGGAGTCCTCCACTAGGGCCCCTCACTGCTTTGGAGTACAGACACATATGTGTGTGTGTCTGTCTGTGATGACACCTGTCCCCAGAAACCCTTCTCAGACAGGGCTTTCACTCCTCCAAGGGGATAGCAATTCCCTCAGAGGCCTTCAAAGCCCACTAGAGCCTCAGGCCCTAGTTCCCCTAAATCCTTCTTAACGACTTGTCCCTACTCGGGTAGGGTGCAGACAGTGGAGAGGAAGGAGGGACTTGCCCAGTGACTGTCACTCTGCATGTGTGTCCATTGGGAGAGGGGGCCAAGCAAGAAGCCCTTGGCACCCAGTTTTGTCCTAGCTCCCCAGAAAGGCCAGAGTGCCCTCATCCTGCTGGCCCCAGCCTAGGACAGCCCCAAAAGGGAAGTTAGCCCAGTGTCTTCTTTAACATTCTGCATTGCCCATGGGCCTCCCCTCTCCACACAGAGAGAGGGCCTCATTCATGGTTGGGGGTGAGTCTGAAGGACAAGCAGTCTCAGCCTCCTAGCGGGCTAAGCCTAGAAGCACAGAAGGGGTGCTGGACACATGGCTGAAGAATGAACATATGAACCACTGGAATGTGTGAGGTCCCAGTTTTTCCCTCACTGACGTGTCCATCATGAAGCAGCAGAGAGGGAGTGAATTCAACACTGCCCCCACCCTGGGACACAGTCCTGTGCTGTCCATGGAAACTGGCGTACTTGCGGGTCAGGGAATTGAAGGGCGCTGCTCAGCTGCTCTTGGAAGCCTGGACCTCAGCCTCCTCATCTGCCAAGGCAGGGATGGTCAGGCAGAGTGCATAGGGCACCCCGCCCCCACCAACACCCACCAGGTGAGCGCACCCCATCCCCACCCAAGATCATTGCCCACCTCCCTCTAGCAGCAGCAGACAATGTTCTACAATTCTGTGAAGACCGGCTACACCATCGGCTACAGCCTGTCCCTCGCCACCCTTCTGGTCGCCACGGCTATCTTGAGCCTGTTCAGGTGAGGCCCAGCCCGGGCAACAGGCCTCAAAGCAGACCTGGCAAGTGCCATGCCCATGGTCGAACCCAGCCTGGCCCAGGCATCCCTGCCCCCTTCCATGGTTGCCCCCCAGGCAGCACACAGTCCCCACCCAGCCCCTCAGCCAGGCCAGCCTCCCCTGGAGATGGCAGGTAGCCGAGGTGTGCCATCAGTTGCAGTCTAGTTGCCCAGAGGATGGTCCTGCACCTGGGGACAGAGCAGCAGAGGGTGGGGCCTGCATCCTGGAATGAGGCACCTGGGGCTGGGCTGAGGCACGTGGATGCCTAGCCACACAGGAGGATGCGGTAGCTGGGGTGGGACCCACACTTTGGGATGGGACCCCTCTTGATGAGGGGCCTGCACTCTGGAGGCCATGTGCTCCCTCATCCCCTCTTGCTCAGAGCACAGAACAGTATTGGCTGGGGTGCGGGTCCAAGGCCCCTTCAGCCTCCCAGATCTGCACCCCCAATGCAGGAAGCTCCACTGCACGCGGAACTACATCCACATGCACCTCTTCATATCCTTCATCCTGAGGGCTGCTGCTGTCTTCATCAAAGACCTGGCCCTCTTCGACAGCAGGGAGTTGGACCATTGCTCCGAGGGCTCGGTGAGGACCTCCGTCCTGGCCCACCTCCCTCAGTCTCACCTTCATCTTTAATCACCTGAATCTCCTCTTTTCCCCTTCTCTCCCTCTTCTTCCTCCTCCTCCTGCCTCCCCCTTCCCCTCTTCTCTCTCTCTCTCTCAGTTCAAGGATGGCCAAATCCCCACCTAAGCCTACCTGACAGCTCCTCAAATCTCACTCCCCTTCCAGCAACAGGAGATGTTGCTTGGCCATCTGGGAGCTCACAGACCTGCCCCACCAATGAGAAATACAGGTGGAAATGGGACATTTCATGACCACAGCCCAGGACCCCTGTCTCACCTACCTCTGTTGCTAAGTTCCTATGTGAGCTTGGGGAAACCCCCTGCCCCAGTTTCCCCATCTGTGCAGGGACTTCCAGTTTCCTTCTAACTCTGCCCTCTGCCATCTGTATACCCAGGGCTCTGCTCACCATGCTACCCATCCTACTCCCCACCCCCTTCCCTTGCCAGCTGGAGTTGGTCCAAACACATGCAGCCCTCCTCTGCTGTTCTTCACCTGCCACCAGACCAGTTCTGGGCCTTCCTAGAAAAGAGAAGTTAAGGCAGTGTCTAAGGAATTTGTCACCATTCACTATGGAGTGCATTTCCAAGTAATCCTGAGCTAGGGCCCCCTCACTGAGTGCCCTCCAGCTAGGACAGAGAGGTTGAGACTAGCCCTGGCTCCAGTTCATTCCTTATGGTCAGTGGCTTCTTGCTTCATGAGTGACCCCAGAGGCAGTGCATTACAGCAGGGGTCAGCAGTATCTTCTCCCCAAAGAATGAACCTATGATGGTGGAATCTCAGGCATCTCAACAAGGGGGAGAGAAAACCCAGGGAACCCACCTTGGCCCTTCTCAGAGTTCTTCAGAGAATCCATCCCAGGAGCTGGGGGCCAAGTCTGACCCTTGCAGTATGAGCCACAGAGCCTGGGGAGCAGCCTGCAGCCCCCGGGGCCCTTGTTAAGGATAATTGTGGAGACTGGCTTCCTGATCCATTAGCAGCTCTGTGAAGCTACACTAAGGCAAGGAGAAAACACAGATAACTGTCCTGTTCATGAGCTGAGTTATTCTTGTTGCAAAGCAAGTGGGGGAAGGTGGGGGAAGCAAACACACCTGCAGCTGGAGGGACTGAAGAGCAACTTGAGGAAGGACTTTCCAATCATAGGGACGGGAGGCTGCTCTCTGCAAATGTCTCAAAGCCAAGGGCAAAGGAAGGAATGGTGGGAACCTGTATTCTGGGTCCAGGGGGAAGTGGAAGCTAGAAGGCTTCCTGGAGGAGGGTGGCTTTAAACTCTGGCTCACAGGCATCCAGGCTTGATCTGAAATGGGAGACCATTTCTGGCAGGGGACAGAGGACCCAGAAGACCTTTCAACCATGCTGGGTGGGCCACCCAGAGCCCCTTGGTTTCTACTCAGGGGTCTCCCTGTCTCCTCCATTGTCCTCGCCTGCTTGGGGAACCCATTCTTCCACTAGCTCCTCTGGCCCCCAGGAGGAATGGTGACTCCTCCCCTCTTTTCCTTTTCTTCATTTCTACTTCCCCTTCCTCTACCCTCTTCCTAGCCCAGTTTCTCTCCCTCACTTCCATCTGGGCCCCGCTCCACAGTCCCCAGCCCACTCCTCCACACATTCAGCAGACTCCTGCAAACTCAAGCAGGAATTCTCCCTCCTACCTCCTCCAGCTACCTTCCATCCTAATTGGAACAAGATGAATGAGTAGATGGGGATGGGTTTAAGTGGATGAGCAGCTTGGTGGGTGGCAGAGTAAACAGGTGCATGGATGGCTAAGTAGGCAAAAGGATAGATGGATAAAGTAAGGAAGATTGGACAGATGATGGGTAGAGGGATAGGAGGGTAGATAGGTGGATGGACTCATGAGTGGGTTTGGGGGGATGGATAGATAAATGGATAGATGGCTAGGTGCGCGGGCTGGTATGTGAATGGAGAGATAGATAGGTGAGTGGGAAAATGGATGGATAGATGGGAAGATGAAAAGATGAAGAATGGATGCGTGGATGTTAGATGGATAGATGGGTCAGTGGGTAGTGGATGTCTAGTGGGTGGGTGGGTAAATAAATGGATGAATGGATAGGTGGTGGGTGGATGTAGATGGGAAGATGGATAGATGATGAGTTGATCAGTGGATAATTAACGTCACCAGCATATCCCTAATGCATCAGATGATCTAAAATAAGGAAAAATGTGGAAACCATTGAGTATGTTTTAAAGGGGATAATGCAAAACAACAAAGAAATTAAGTTGGCTGTACTGCAAGTGTGTTTGTCCCCCCAGAGAAAGGTGTGCTAGTCCCATTGAGCCCCTTCTTTGCTCCTCCCCCTGCAGGTGGGCTGTAAGGCAGCTGTGGTCTTATTCCAGTACTGTGTCATGGCCAACTTCTTCTGGCTACTGGTAGAAGGCCTCTACCTGCACACCCTGCTTGCCGTCTCCTTCTCTGAGCGGAAGTACTTCTGGGGGTACATACTCATCGGCTGGGGTATGGTACCAGGGAGGGCTGCCAGGCTGGGAACAGAGGGGACAGGGCCTAGGGAGCTCACTACGGGGAGGGTGCCAATCCAGAATGCTGTATTAGGTCTTGTTGCAAGGCTGCAGGTCCTCCTTGCCAGGATCTCAGTCAAGGGTTGGTAAAAGTCTCCCAAACGTCTGACCCTGGGATGGCAGCTGCACCTAGGACTGATCTGTTGGAAAGATTCTGTGAATGTCCTTCCTTTTCCCTTGTATCCCTGATACACACAGGGCCACTGCTAATCTATAGGGTGCCTCTATCAAAATTTGAAAAAGACTGTCCCTCTAGGTGGACACAACCCCTCAGGCATACAGCCACACGCCCTCAGTGGAGCATCTTTGCACAGTGAACAACCTGTGGAAGCATAGAAGGCAGCCCTGGAAACCTACCCTTTTTTTTCTTCCTCCCTCTTTCTGATTCTTTCTCCTAAACCTCTCCCTCATGCTCTCTACCCCTGCTTCCTCTGCCTCTCCTCTCTTTTGCTCTTCCTTTGTCCTGACAGGGGTGCCCAGCACATTCACCATGGTGTGGACCATCATCAGGATCCATTTTGAGGACTATGGGTGAGCTGTCACCCACCCCCTCCCCTTGGCTTCCATCACTTGGGGCAGATCCCCTGGGTGGGATGATGATGCCATCCAGACTTGGCAGGGGGACAAACCACAGCATGTGGTCCAGAGGGGGAGGGTGGGAGGGGACCTGGGCAGCAAGTGACTCTGGGCCCTTGGTCTCTAAAGATCTCGGGGGCAGAGCTAGGGACAACTGAGAGGACTGCTGACTCTCACTTTGGCTGAGGACAACTTCTCTCATTTTTCCCCACCATACTCTGCTCAGATGCTGGGACACTATCAACTCCCCATTGTGGTGGATCATAAAGGCCCCCATCCTCACCTCCATCTTGGTAAGGCCTCCTCCCACCTCTTGAAGATGGGGAAACTGAAGCCCAGATTGTGTAGGCAATTTGCCTCAGGTCACTCAGGAAATTAGTGTCTAGGTCAGAACTGAAACCTAGGCTTCCCAATGCCTAGTGCAGGACCGTCCCCCCTCCCATCCCACTAGTCCTCCTCTAGAGTAAATGGATTGGGAGACTTGGTCCTTAGGGATGTGAAGTAGAGTTCCTGGTTGACCTGTCCAAAGGGGGAGGAGCTGGGGGAGAGATAAGATGGAGGGGCAGCAGGACCGTGGGGAAGAAGACAGGCCATTAGCCCAGGGGACTGGACACCCAGCCTCCCTTCTCTGACTGCCTGACCTCGGGCCGCCTTCCCCTAGGTGAACTTCATCCTGTTTATTTGCATTATCCGAATCCTGGTTCAGAAACTGCGGCCCCCAGATATCGGGAAAAGTGACAGCAGCCCATTCCCGTGAGTGTGGGCCCGGTGCTCTGGTCCCCCAGTACCTCCATCTCCTCTCCCCAAATCATCCCACATCCCCTTGAAGTCCCCCCATCCTGAACTTCTGGAGTCACCAGAAAACCACATTGCTCTTGCCCACCTCTACTCCATGGCCCAGCTCAGTCCCCTGCCCCAGCCTCACCCTCACCAGGCTATCCTCAGTGTCCCACGTCTGCTTCTCCTGCACTCACTTGCCTAACAGCCTTCCCCAGTGCACATCTGCTGCCAAGCTGTGGAGCTTGAGAAGACAGAGATAACCTCTGTCTTGCTCATACTGTGTGCCCAGTCCCTGGTATGTGCCTGGGGAAGAAAAGGGGTGCAACACATGCACAGCAGATGAGTGCCCTGGGGCAGCCCCACTCTGCCAGTGAGACAGCCACGTTCAGGACTCGGTATTCCCAATAATAATGACATCTGCAGTTTACATACCAGGCATGTGCTAAGGGGTTTCCATTTTATCCACACAGTTCCCTTTTAAATTGTCCCCATTTTACAGAGAGGAAACTGACACACCCTCCCCTTTCAAGGGTTTGGGAACATATTGCCACATGGTGAGTGGGGAGAAGGGGACAGTGTCCGTGGGACAGTGGTCGTGCCCCTTGCTTAGAAAGATATGAGGGCTGATTCCTGTTGCTGGGAGAACTGGAGAAAGAGGCAGATTTCACGGAAGCAAAAAGGCTTGAAGGAAGAACTAAAGAAACGTGAAATTGTGGAAAGGGATGCTGTGAGAAGGGGAGTGGGGTCTGCATGTCTGCAGATGGGAACAAGAGATTGAGCATCAGTGCTGTGCAGACAAGACAAACCTGGGATGTCCCACAAGGGCCTTCCAGTCCTGGGATTGTAGAATGTCCTTGGCCTGGCTTCTCCTCGGGAAGTCTGTGCTGTGGTTCTAAGATTCCCGACTAGAATGTCACGAGCTGCTGGATTTACGATTCTATTCTGGAACCCTGTGATTCTCTCTGATGAGACTGACTTGCATTCCTGGTGTGACAGCATTCTCTCCTGCTGGGTGTGTAGGTGGAGCTTCCCTTCCTGTTTGAGAAAGGAAGGTCCTGGGGAGTCTGCAGTCTGTTGAGGGGCAGCACTTTGGGCCTATGCACCCTCATCCTCTTCTTTACCTGAGGGGCCTTATTTCCTCCAGTATATAATGGCTCCAAAGAGCTTGAAGCTGTGGCAAGGAGAGCTGGTCATGGCCAGGTCTGTGTGGGTGAGATGGAAAGGGAACAGCTGGCAGCAGGCAGAAGGGGTGGAGGGAGTTGGAGATGGAGCTCCCCATAGAGGGGCTGTCAGCTCCCACTCTCCACCTCCCCATAAGTCTTCAGTTTAAAGAAAGCTTCCATCTGTCAGCCTCAAGCATGTGGGATAAGTTTGCAGCCAAGGAGGGGTGGGCTGTGCTCAGGATCCTGGCATGTCTAGGAACCAGGTCCAGGAAGGAAGTGGGAGAGGCAAGACCAGCTCCTCTGCCCCCAGCTTGCTGTGGGGTCTCAGGCCCCAGGCTAGGCGTCCCTGAACTGACTGCCAAGGCAGGAGAAATTGGAGCAGGAACACCCCTCCCCCGCCCCCCGTCCCTGCCACCACCACCTCTCTCAGCCAGGGAACCATGGGCTCACACTGCCTGGACCAGCTATGAGGTCAGGTGGCTGGGAGGCCTGAACAAGGTTGAGCCCTGTGCCACAGGAGAGAGGCAAGCATTTAGAGTAAATGCTGATCCTACTCAGAGCACAAGGCTGGTGGAGGAAGGGCTGGTCCTTGAGAGCATTCTGGGAGTGTGCGCATTGGCAGCAGAGGGATGCAATCTCAAAGAAGATGGCAACTCCTGGAGAAGTGGATACAGCAGAAAAGCCAAAGACACAGGGCTCTACTGATTAACCCTGGGTCTTCCCTGGTGACCAAGCACAAATGGGCACCCACTGCCCTCCCAAGTGGCCTTGGGCATATGTGACCAGAACCCCAGTTAAAAGAACTTCCTTCCCAGGGTCCTCATTCCCAGCAGGAAATTGGTCTGTCATGGATGCACTGAACTTTATAGCACCCAAAGCCACTTCCAAGTTTGCAGTGGGTTCCCATTTCTGTAATTTGACTATGTTGAACATATATATACCCCATTATACAGACTGGGGAAACTGAGACAAGGAGAAAGGGAACCAGGCTTTCTTGTTGCCTCCCCATTAGCTGAAATCCCACTATGACCCATCATCCTCAGTGGCCTCTCCTTTGTACTCTCTTCCACAGAAGGGTGAAATTGGAGGGGGTTTCTTTCTCTCTCGGGCTTCCCTCTAGGCTAGGAGGGCTGGGGGCATGAGGGCAGAAACCCTGCAGATATCAGCACAATATTTAGGGGAGCCAACAGCCCATCCTCACACATCCTGGTCATTGTCTCTGTCTTCTGTGCCCCCAGCTGCCCCCATGCCAGGCCTATTGTATCCACACTGTGAACACACATACTCATGGGATGCCCCTCCCTGTCCCCAGGAGGCTGGCCAAGTCCACGCTCCTGCTGATCCCTCTGTTTGGAGTGCACTACATCATGTTCGCCTTCTTCCCTGACAACTTCAAAACTGAAGTGAAAATGATCTTTGAGCTCGTCGTGGGCTCTTTCCAGGTATAAACTGTTGACTCAAAGCTACATTCTTCTCTGGCCTTTAAGACAAGTCAGCCTGGGACCCTGGCCATTTCCCACTGGATTCCAATCTTTTCATTGATATTGTTAAGTATTGGTTAAGCACCTACTTCATGCTTAGCCCTTTCTTTAACCAGGGGAACACAGGGGCTGGGTCCAGGGGTGGGGTGGAGCTGGGAGCTTCTGGGGTCTGTCTACCTCACCTCTCTGTCCCCTTCCTCCCCAGGGATTTGTGGTGGCCATCCTCTACTGCTTCCTCAATGGTGAGGTAAGCCCCTCCCAGACCTTGGGGGTCAGGAAACAGAACCCCCAGGCCCAGAGTCCTGAAACACTGATGGGATATGTGCAGAGCAAGGATAGGTTAAGCCTCGCTACTCCAAGTATGGTCCTCAGACTAGCAGCAATGGTGTCACCTAGGACTTTGTTAAAAATGCAGATCTCTGGGACCACCCCAGACATGCTGACCTAGAATCTGCATTTTAACAAAACCCCAGAGGGAGGGGGATTCATGCACATCAGACTTTGAGAAGCATCTACTTAAATTGCTGTGTGCAGAGTGAGAGGGGAGAGGTGGGGGAAGCGAGTGAAAGCTGAGTTGCTGTGGAACCCTGGTTAAAAAGCACAAAAGTCCACCTGGATGAGCTCAAGTGAGCTGGAGGGCCAGGATGGGAAGAATCGGGATACAGTCATTCCCAGGCAGCATCCTTCGTCCTCCCTGGACTTCATTCTCTGCTCCTCTCTGCCTCCCATCTTTCCGCCCCCACCCCCCACCCCCATCTCCAAGGTCTTGATTTGAACCCGGCCCCAACAAGGTCCCAATACTGCACTGCCCAGGGCAGCATCTGGGTCTCTCAAGTTAGACTTCCCCAAGAGGATATGACTGGCTGTCTTAGTCTCTGCTTGGACAGCAGCTCAATCCGCAGTGGAGGAGGCTTCTGACCACCCTCTCCTCCTCTCCTAGGTGCAGGCGGAGCTGCGGCGGAAGTGGCGGCGCTGGCACCTGCAGGGCATCCTGGGCTGGAACCCCAAATACCAGCACCCGTCGGGAGTTAGCAACAGCGCCACGTGCAGCACGCAGGTCTCCATGCTGACCCGCGTCAGCCCGGGTGCGCGCCGCTCCTCCAGCTTCCAGGCCGAAGTCTCCCTGGTCTGACCGCCAGGTGCTCAGAGGCAGAAGGGGGCCCCTCCCACCCCCTTCCACCCACCCCGGCCAGTACCGGCGGCAGAAGCCTACCCGGGCGCGGCCAGCCCCAGCCCTGGGCTGGGAGGCTGCCCGGGCTCCCAGGCCACTCTCCGGACACTCCTAGAGAACGCAGCCCTCGCACCTGCCTGGAGCGTTTCTATGCAAGCAGGAGAGCTGGGAGGACGTGGGGTGGAACTCAGTCATCAGACTCCTCCTCCAGAGGCCCCCTCTACCAGTCAAGAGCAAGAAATCTGCATACTCTCATCCTGACTCCGCCCCCGGCATCTCTTCTGAAAAATCGGCGGAAAGCAATCGCCCATCCTCAAACAACTTTGGTGTTATCTGGGGGCAGAAAGGTCCTGCCCCAAAAGGTCACTCATCGCCACCACACCAAATAGTGCCTGAAATTCTACCATTGCTGTCAAGTTCCTTTGGTTTAAACACTGCCATTCAGGCATCATCTCTGAAGCAGCAGTAAATTTTCCCTGTGTCCTCATAAGTGCCAGCTTTTCAAGATGTGTGTTTCTATGCTTCAGGTAAATGCGGTTGTGATTTGGTGTTTTGGTTTGGGGAGGACGGCTATGTTTGTAGTCCCCACTGAAGCGGAGTGGTTCCAGCGTCAGTCTGGTAGCTGGGACAATACAACCCAGGCACTGAGGAACTCTGGGGCCTCTAGGAATTGAGAGGACTTCCACAAGAGAACACTGTGGCCTCAGACTAAGCCTACCTGTTCTCCAAGCCTCAGTGGCTTCGTCTGTCAAGTGGAATCAGTCGCACCCATCTTTATGGGCTGTGGAAGCAGCAGCCATGAAGACTGCCCTCCTTGGCTGCCCATCTATGTGTCAACTCCTGTAGATATGGCTGATGGGAAAGTGAAAGCACAGACTCTTAACTGCTACCTTTTATATACTGTAACCAGCCGACCCTGTTTGGTTATTTATATCACCACTGATATTATTATTGCCGTTATTCCTGTATCTCCATTCTCATCCCACCCTCCCTGGATTGTGGCTGAGGAGTCCTCCAACCCATGTATCTGTTTGCCAAGAGCATAGGGGTCGTGGCATCCTCTGTCTGCTCTTCACCCCTGTGGCCACACAGCTTCCTACCCACGCCTCCACCAGAAGATCCACTCAGGACTGCAACAGGCTTATGCAGCAATAAATGTTGGCTTGGATTGGCTTGGTTGCCTTGGTGGTTGATGTTCCCATGTGGCCTAAAATGGGGACCAGCTTCCAACTTGTAGCCGTCTCCCCCCACTCCAAGGAGGGATGGTCCAAAATATCACTGAAGCCAGATGCCACCACCCCTCTGGCTTTGGACAGGATTCCCACATTCCTTGTGAGGAGCACACAGTTCTGAGGGTCTTCAATTCACATCTTTTTGAGTGGTCTCTTCTCTCTTCTGAGTGTGATGAAGTTCAACCAGGTGCCCATTGTGTCCAGCAACCCCATAAATCTAGCCAAGAAGAAACCGTTATAGTCTTAGATCAATGCAAAACAGCTGACATAGCTGCCCGAGGTCCCAGAAGTGGTTAAGTGTGAGGCTTTCACAGGCTACAGTCATTCGTACAGATAAGGAGCAAACAGGTTATGAATTGACAATGTCACCGTGGCCCAGCCAAGAGTAGGGAGATAGAGGACAGCACAAATGTCACCCACACAAGCAAATGAGCAGAGACAATGTGATTAATAGAAAGATTTAGACACAGGCACTATGGTGAAGTAGATAATGTCAGTCAGCAAGAGGTGTCTCCAAAGCTGTTACCTGAGCTGACTTCCTTGGGTTCGACCTCCTGCACGCATGTAAGAAGGTTGCCTCCTGCTGCAGGAGAAGAGGGAGGCCAAATTGGTCAGAATGGTCTGGCAAAAGCTCAGATCTGACTGCAAGTCTCCTTCAAAGCTTGGTCCTACTCAGTACCATCCCAGGACCCATCACCAAATGATAATTCCAACCCAGTACCTTCGGCGGCCCGAGTCAGGGATGATCAGGCAAGGATAAGAGTGACTGTGAACCTGGGCAGAGGCAGCCCCAGGCAAATACACTCTGATCGGTCACCCAGCGTATCCAGGAGTGGCAGACTCTCTCCATCCAGATTCACACTCCATTCTCAGCCCTGTGCATGGTCAGTTGTAGGACCAAGAAGGAAGTGGTGCCCGTAGCCCTAACCTCAGACCTCCCCAGGCTTGCTGGAGAGAGCATTCTCAGCACTCTTCTTCCCCTCCCCCTGCCCAGACCAACACTGGTGACCACCAGTGGGGTGCTGTGGTGGAGAGCTGAGCTAGGATGTTGGCACTCCTGGGACTTGTCCATTCTTCCCTGACAGTCTCATATTGCGACCGCTCCAAGGCCTAGGGGATGATAGCTAGGGAGCAGGCAGTATGTCCATGCTTTCCCACCCAGCTTTCTCACTCTCTGGTTTACCTTCTCCCACTTCCTACTGAGTGCCCCTCTGAACTGGTTCCAGAGATCTTGTCCATCCCATACTCCTCAGTAAGGTCCAGAGGACCCAGCCCCAGTCTTTTAGTCCCATTTCTGCTTCAGACTTTCTTGGAGATCATGAGCAGGTCCCCGCCCTTCTCTGGATGTCAATTTCTCCCCCTGCACAATAGGGGATGGTGCTAGATGGCTTAGCTTAACTCCTGGCTAAGGCATAGCTAGCTAAAGAGGAAGGGGCTGCCCAGAGCCCTCTGCCACCCTCTCTGCCCTTTGAGCTCGGGGGAGGACAGAAGCTGGAGGGGTAACCCCAAATAGTCTGGGGGGATGAGGACTACAGAGAGGATGGAGGCTGTGCAGAGAACAAGATCAGAGAACTGGTGAGACTCCTTGAGAGATGAGCTCAGGCTGGTAGAAGAGGGGAGGAGGAATAGGGAAAACAGAAACGGGAAGAGCCCACATATCCGTAGAAGCAAGATGTCTGCAGAGGAGAGGGCAGCACCCTGCATTCCACATCAGGGACTTCATGGACTGCCTGAGCTGTGTGAAGGTCACGAGGGACCCCCACACCAATATGGACCTGGCCTACCCCTCAGTGCCTGAAATCCCCCCCCCCCATTAGAGTGTCATGGCTTCAGGGTAAGGCAGAGAGCCCTGTGGAGGGGAGCAGAGTTATCAGCCAAGAGAGTAAAGAGCCAGTGAAGCAAGGAGACCCAAGATGTGGGCAACGAAAGGGAGGACTTAGGTGGGGCCCTGCCCAGACAGCTGACATGGAGTGAAAAACTCAGTGATAGGCTTTCAGGGATGGGAAGAAGCTGACACACAGTCTCAGGCTGGCAGAGGCCATAAACAGGCATCCCAGGCTGGGAACAGCAATGGAGTGACCACAAGCAGGATTTCTCCAGTCCCCTCCCCTTCCTCTAGCTTCTGGGTCCCTCTCCTGCCTTGCCAGGCACCTGTCGGGCCAGGCTAACTCATCTCTATTGCCACCTGGTGGGTGCTTCCAGGACTTCACCAAGGCTGGCCTTAATGCCCAAACACCACAGTGCAGGCCCCTCCTCAGGAGGCCAAATGACATAAAGGGCAGGCCTCACCCCTGAGCTCCATTCATAGTGATAAAAGAGGGAGGAGGTGGTGAGCCCATAGGACTGGTCCCCAGGGTCAGCCTGGGATTAAGGACACCCAGGTCCTGGCCCTCGGACCCAGGACACTGACCTCTGCAGCACACTAAACCTGCCTCAGACCCAGCTGTAACCTGAGGTAGACCCCACCTTCTGGTTGGCCACAGGCTAGACCCTGGCCCTGACTGAGCCCTGACCTCAGTCCCTGAGAGCAAAGCCCAATTAACTCAGGTGGGTACCTCCTGGGAAGACAAGGACAAAGAGCCCCCCACCATCCCAGTGCAGACAGCCATCATCCCCTCCATGGCAGAGGCCATCACGTGGGTGACTCATGCCACTCGATGGTACAGGCTGCCAAGGAGGACGGCCAGTCTGCCAACAGAAAGGATAAGGGACAACTCTTCAGGTATGGTGACATTGAGGTGGTCTCTGAAGACTCGGTAGGGGTCTCCGGTCCCAAGGGAACTTGACAGTTGCCAAGGACACTTGAATCCAGGTGAGCTGGCATTGGGGGCCCTTCCCAGCAGGAACACAGTGGAAGCTTTTTAAATAAGGGGAGGGGATGAGGGGGGGTATTGGGCAGGCCACTCTGGCTGCTGAAAAGGGCCCAAGGGGCAGGCCTGGGGAAAGCTGCCAGTCTGTCATCCAAGTGAGGGAGAAGGAAAAGGAGGGTTGGGGAGGTGATGACCTGGTTTGGGACATGCTGAATGTAATGTCTGTGGGACATCTGGGGAGAAGCCCCAAAGCTGTTGGAATCAGGACCTAAAGCAACAGGGCCCAGGCAGGAGGTGGGGAGACCAGGGCATCTCCTATGGGAGAGGGGCGTGTGGGGACTGTGTATCCCCCATGGGATCCAAATCTGGTGTGATGGCAGGGATGGGGTGAGGAGTCAGGATCAGCCCCTACATTCCCACTGCTCACCCAGGGCCTGTTTTAATGAGCATGGCCCAGCTTCCCTCCACCTCCCCCCACGTGGGAACAGGAACTGCTCTTATCTCTCCTGGGGAAGGGGGCTGGAGCCACAGCTGGCAATCATTAAACACGCTGATCAAGCCAGGGATGGCTGAGATATTAATAGCCAGGAGTTGATGGCCCTGGAGACACAGCCTCCCAGGAAGAGGGACAGTAACCTCAGCAGGCCATGGGGATAAGGAAGACAGGTCAGGAGGCCATCCTGGCAATGCCCCAGGCTCCACGCAGGACAGATGGGGTAACCAAAGTCCAGAGAAGGGAAGGGACTTGCATGGGATCCCAGTAATGTCATCAGTAGAGCCTGGCCTTGAACGCGGTTCTCCAAATCCCAGAGCCCTGACTATTCCATTACATGGATTGTTACAGGGGAGATCACTGGAGGTGCACCATGTGGAAACACAAGAAGAGCAGACAACACTGATTCTGATTTTACTTAAAATCTTGGTATTTTGTTCATTAAGTGTTTTTTGCATTAATTTTGATTTTTAAAATATTGCATTAAATATTATTTATATTGATTACTGAATTTTTTTGCTACCTCTATTAAAATTTGCACCCAAGGCAAATGCTTTTTTTGCCTCACCCTAGTCCCAGCCAGGCTCCCAGAGGTCCCAGCATCTCTGAGTCCCAGGATGTCAACATAGAAGAAAATTTGGAGAGCCCTGGACTAGCCTCTATGTGACTCAGAGGGAAAGGATCCTGCCAGGGTGATGCCCACTAGAAGTAGGCAGCTCCAGGGCTAATTCAGCAGCTCAACAGTGTCACTGTGCCATCACTGTGTCCACTCTGCCATCCTCAGTATGTTGACTCTCATCCTCAGACTTATTCCCTCACGATTGCAAAATGGCTGCTGCCGTCCCAAGCATCGTGCTCTCACAGAAGCCCATCCCCTGACAGGAAGGACGATTTCTCCTATGTGTCTCCTTTCATCAGGCAAGATGATCTTAGAATCCCAGGACCCACGTTTTGCACACTCTCCTCAAGCCAGAAGTAGGTTATATACCCAAACCCCAGCTGCAAGACAGGCCAGATTGATTTCTATGAGGGAAGTTGATCTGCTGAGGAAGAAGGGGAGACGGCTGTTGAGTAGGTAACCAGCAGAGTCTTACTAAGTCTGCTTTTGGATGTCTTTCACAGTCCCTCCACCTGAGCCTGGTGGTAGAGGTGAGGGAGCCAAATCAGTCATGGTTCAGTGTGTGAAACAGAAAACGCTCTAGGTGTTTCATGCAGAAAGAGACTTAACACAGGGAATTAAATGTAGGAAGGTGTGGAGGAATGGAAGCTGGGGAGCACCTTGTTTTTCATGGTCACACCACCAACAGCTGCCACCTTGCACATCCATTAAGCTGGTGACAAGGAAAGGGAAGGAACATAGTGTCCTGCGGCAGCAAAAAACTCAGGTCTGCCAGATCCCACCCATCGGCCACCATGCTGCAGGAAGAAAGGCTCCCACCTCCCTTCTGCCTCCTGACCCTCCGGCAGTGCTTCCCTCTGGCAGAGTCTGAGTTGCATCAGAACCTTAGCAGCAAGGGAATCTGGAAAGGTAGTCTTGGGCCTTCCAGCCCCTCCAACACAGTGGAATATGGAAGGGGCTAGAGAAGAGGCCAAGTGCCAATAGACCCATTTGTAGCACAGGGGTCAGGTGGCATGGTA